ATAGAAATTCATGAATATTAAAAGTGCATTGGTAACTGACAGAGGAACTCATACAGTGATAAAACTAAGAAGCTATGTGTCCATGCATAGGTTTCATGCCTAACAGACAGTGTGAACAGAAGAAACTCAAAGCAGGTATCTCAAAGACAGCTGAGTAAACATTTATTAGTCACAGAAGCAATAACCACTAAAATTAACAGGAGCCATCAAAATGTGTTGCCTCTGGAGAATAAGACTCTTGTTTTTCAATATTAGTGCTTCCCTACCATCTGAGTTTTTAAAATCATGTTCATGAATCACTGTGACGCTAGTGTAGGAGTTGGCAAACTTCTTCTGCAAACAACCAGATGGTAAATATTTTAAGCATCGTGAGCCATATGGGTCTCTGGCAGCTACACATCTTTGCCACGGGTGCCAACAGACATTTGTAAATGAGTGGCTGTGTTCCAATAAGATTTTATTTACACAAACAGGTAGCAAGCCCGATATGCCCGGGAGGCTACAGTTTGCAGACCCCTGATCTAGTCCAGTGTTTCCCAAACTATGTGCTGCAGGACGCTCTGATATATTTAAGGGTACTCCTCCACAAGGTAGGGGAGTTCCATGTTCACAGAGTGGAGAAAACGCTGGGCTAAACAATGCGAAGCAGGTCACCTTTACTCCAGGACTTGAGCATCTTGCTTATAAGCCTCAAAACCCAACATGGAAGCACCTAGTCTAGAGTGCACACCAGTTCTCCAGTTTTCCTGAAGACACTGGAAGAGCATCAAAAGTGGTTTTGGAAATGGTGTCATAACTGAATTCCTGGCCTGCAAAGATGAATGAGTCAAACTCAGAGAGGGGCACGTTACTTGCTCAAGGCTACTGGCCTGGTGGTGTCAGAAGCGGGACAGCAGCCATGCCACAAGGGGACCCACTCACACGTCCGTGGAACAAACCATCATGACGCTAAGTACATCTCCACCCTGAGTGATTTTAGGGGATACACTTCGAAATGGTGTAACGATGTCGGTGCAACAACAAAACTCACACCTTAAAAACTGAAAACTATGGGGTTAGATTTTATTATTTTCTTTATAAACATCATGAGGTGAGCTGAAGTGATTAGGCTAACCCACTGTGACTCTGTTTCCTCATCTGTAATGGGGGGCAGGGGGAGGAGTAGAAAAAATTAAAAATAAGAAAAATGAAATAATATTTTGTCAACTTGTTCATGATTTCTGAGCATAGGACTCAGTGGCGCTAAATCTTATAACATACAAGTCACAGGTAGCTGTTGGCTAAGCTCCATAGGAACACACCGCAATGTACAAAGCACAGAACGTGTGTTTAGGGGATAAAAGAAAGTTGAGGGTCGGGGACAAAAGAAAAGAGGCTGAGAAACCTGAGATCTAATCACTAGTTTCTTGTGAAGACAGTACTAAGATATGAAACAAAGCAACACATTCCCACACACGGAAATGTTCAGGATGTAAACTGAAAACAAAAACAAAACCAACCAAAGCCCAGGCGATGTGGGCAAGGCGGAGTCAGACAGAACTGGGCACGCCCACTCTGAAAATACCGTTCTGGTTCATCTGGTCGTTTCCCAATTTTAGAATGACTTACAACATCATTCTTTTAATTCACAAACCAACCATTCTATTTTCATGTTTTTCAGGTTCATATCCATAGTCTACGATTGTAAGCAGAGATGGAGTTCTGAAAACGTCCTTAGTCAACGGAGCTAAGTTAGGGCAGCTCTCCCCTGAGACCCTCGTTAACAGTGCGAAAATGATTCTTCCAGGACCATGGGAGTGCCGCTTCTGCCGACAGAATTCCCATCCAACCAAGACCAGGTCCAGCTGAGCCGGAGGTCAACAGCTAGTAGCCCAGGGGAAGAGGAGGGGCAGCGGCAGTCGGCCTACAAACCTTGCCTTGGCTTTGTTCCAGTGTTACAACCCACAAACTGTCCCCAACGTCGTATCTACCCTCCTGAGACTTGTCCCAAAGGCCTCACAGTTGGAAGCTGGCCAACCCCTGAAGCACAGTCATCAGATCCTTCAGAGACCATGCGTTGTACCAGACTTCCTTTGCTACACTCCTAAAACCCCGGGGTGCCGTGGGACCAGACAAGAAGGAAGCAGCTGCAGGGCAAGAAAAGTAGGGACCCATGGAGGTGCTGGTATGAGGTCCCCAGATTCAAACGCAAGCAAGCCCCTGACTGGCTCTGTCCAATGCAAGAACCATGGCCCCAAGGCTACTTGCAATGTGACATGGAACTGCATGATACGTTTTAATTCATCTTAGTTGGTTTTATTTTTTAAAACTGGAACAGTGTAAAATATTTTTCCTTGAAACACAAATGTCTTCCTTTGGTAGGTCATCTCTCTTTAAATGCTTAAGACAATAATGGTGCATTTCGGTGCCTGAGTCTACATATAAACACATTACTCATCTACCTGATGTAAATAAGTGATTCAGTTGAAATGATTTCTTTTCTACACGTTGCTGTATATTGTAATGTGTTCGCTGGAATATTTTATGCCAATAGCACTGTAGTGACTATTAGGTAAACCCTAATTGGTAGTTTAATCAAAATACTTGTTTCAATTAAACTAGTTAATTTACTTATTCTCCTAGTTTATAAAATAAATATGGTAAAACTTTCAAATTTAAAACAAAGCCTAAGTACTGACGCAAAATTGAGTGGAGACACAAAAACTCTCACTATGATCAGAACAGTAAAGGAAAAAAGGAGCAAGACAAAGTAAAAAAAGTCACAAAGGCAACTGTAAATTGCTATGGCAGAGCAAAATGAAAAGGCTGTTTATTGCATTAAAAAAAAAAGCAAAGATAATAAAGCAGACAATATTAACAATTTGAGCAAGGAGAGTGAATTTGATGCTCAGTCTCCTTCCAACAGTTACAAAGGAATCACCCAAAGTCAGAATTGAATGGCCAAGAAAAACTGCTGAACATTTTTTTAGCAAAATCTGAGCTTGTGACTATGGCCAGCTAGGAAATACCTTGGATTCTTGAATAAAAACAAACAAAAACAGAACATTTTTTATATGGTGAGATGATTAAATAAATTATTATTTAGTTATGGAAATGTTGTCAGAAAATTATTAAGATAAAAGAGATATTATTGAAAAAGTGAAAGATTTTAAATTAGCATCCAAACAATTGCCCACAGAAGACACGCTATTTCCAATAATACCAAAGTTAAATAAATTCAAAATTTGAAAAATCACAAGCAGTTTTCTTTAGCTTTAGATGAATTATGCAATATCAGAAATTTTGCCCAATTAGTACTTTGGGTAAGTTTTGTCTCAAAAGACTCCCACACTGGTGAAAAAATGTTGTCAATTCAGAATCTTAAAAAAACAGAACGCATGGGATACATAATTTTCAACCTCTTACATCCCCTAAAGAAGGATTTCAGCTAGATATGAAAACAAAAAGCTTCCATCATGCAGACAGTACTCCCAAGTTGGGTCAAAATTTGAGACTCTTAGATTTTTAAAATAAGACACTGGCATTTCTCTTAGTGCTTCATTCGACTGTATGAAAAATAATGGTTCTATGTATTTGCATAACTTGGATCAATACGCAGAAGATTTGATTGAAATCAAAAGCATTACATGAATTGCCTTCAATCTACAAGAAAAATTTGAAGACCACGTACTGAGATTGATAAATTCAGAGCTGGCTTGCAATTTTTATAACCCTTTAAGTTTGATATTAGTAATTCTGAGCTGGCATAAGAGTTAACACATTTACATAACTTGAACAGAGATAGCTTTAAAAGCTGATAAGCTTTTGTTTTAAAAAGTCAAATCAATTCTTCTAAAAAAAAAAGATCTGTAAATCTGAATGGCAAATACTAAAGGAAAATGATTTTTTGACATGATTCAGTTACTGGAAAACTTAACTATGTTGAAACTAGGATATGCAGATCTACTTTTTCAAGTATAAATCTTATGAAATCTGATCAAAGACCCAAGTATTTCAGATGAAGATGCAGTGTCTGAATATGCTATAATTGTAATATAAACACTAAATTTCAAGACTTAGTACAATAAAATAAAGAAGTCTCATTAATATTTTTATAATGTTTACATGGTCAAATGACAATATTTTGAGAAGACTGGGTTAAAGAAAATATATTATTAAAATTAATTCCTCTTGTTTCTTTTTAATTTTTTCAAAGTGACTACCAGAAAATTTTAATGTATGTGGCTCCCATTATGTTTCTACTGAATAGCTGGAGACTCTGGCTACTCAAAGTAGTCTTTTTTCCAGAAGTATCAACATTATCTGAAAGTTTCTTAGAAATGCACTCTTAGGTCCCAGCTGAAGTCTACTGAATAAAATCTGAATTTTATTGAAACTCCCAAGTTTTGCCAGAATGAAATAATATGAAACAGGTTTAAGCTTTTGCCTGAGACAACCCAAAACAAGTAAACACATTCCCCCTTTCAAGAAAAAAAAAAAAGAAGAAGAAGAATAAAGAGAAAGAGAGAGAGAGAAGGAGAAAAGAAAGGAAAAGAAACCAGACAAAATATATGAAATAATGGTTTTCAGGAGACAGGACATAGGAAGCAAATAAGGTAAGCCTATGAGTATCCTGGCTCACTGCCTTCAGAGATTTCTTGGCCAAGACACAGAGAATCCAGAAAGAGCCCAGAAGACTCCCTGAGCAGAAGATACAGAGCTGAGAGTCTGGGGAGAACAAGGCAGCTAGACTTTGTAGGATAGAGGAGAGAGCTTTACAGAGAGAAAACTCAAGAGACCTGCAAAAGGTCACCCTTGAGCATTCAGCTGAGTACTGATCCATGCGTGTTGTGAGCAAACTGTCTGTGGCTGAAGGAAAGAAATACCAGAAAGGATTAGAGGTAACACTGCCTGGTGCCTGCACAGGGCCAAGAATAGTACCTGTTTCCATCAGACAGGCTGGAAAGCCTCATAAATCAGGGGCACTAAGTACTCAGAAAGATCTAGCCTCTTTAGTGGGAAATATCCCCAGACTGAGTGCTGCTCCAGTCTCAAATAACAAGCCTTAACAGCAAGATACAAAAGAATCAATTGTCACTAATTTAGCTAAGGTCCAAAAAAGAAGCTCAAGGATATTCATAGTAATACAAAAATATCCAGAACCCAAGAAGATAAAAATAACAATGTCTGGCATCCAATCAAAAAATGCCAGGCATGCAAAGAAACAAGAAAAGCCAACCCATAATGAGGGAAAATATCAAACAACTGAAACTGACCCAGAATTAAGACAGATATTAGAATTATCAGACAAGGACAGATATTCAAGATTTTAAATAGAGACATGAATATATAAAAACACAAATCAAATTTCCAGACATGAAATCTACAATGTGTGAGATGAAAACCACACTGGATAAGACTAATGGTAGAACAGAAATTGAAGAAAAGTCTAGTGAACTTGAAGACACAGCAATAGAAACATCTAAAATAAGAGAAAAAAAGAGAATTAAAAAAATGAAGAGAATATGAATGAGCTGTAGGGATAGCTTAAGCATTCTGATATACATGTAACTGGAGCCATCATGGCAGGGAAGGGGCATAAAATAATGTCTGAAGAAATAATGACTGAAAATATTCCAAACCTAATAAAAATATAAACTCAAACAAGAAGCTCAACTAACCCCAAGCACAAGAAACCTATATAAAGGCACATCTTAAATTTCTCAAAAGCAATGATAAAGAAAAAAATCTTAAAAT